ATACATACATAAACCTCATTGTTTTCCTCTGGAGTAAACGGCATTTCGATTTTAAAAAGGCATCTCGATTTGCATTAGTTGATATATGCATATATATTATATACATACATACATATATATATCAGGAGCGTATAATGACAAATTTGTCATTATACGCTCGTTATACGTCATTATACTATTTGTCATTATACGCTCCTGATATATATGTTTATATATGTATGTATATGTATGCTCGTAGTTGTTACTGATATAGGTGTAGTCAACGGATGAAGTGTAGATATAGTCTGCTGTAGATATTACTAGAATACCGCTTATTTGCTGATGAGTGTGCCTTGGCGTGAGCATTGTGGTGGGTAGTGTTCCCAATCAGCTCCTTGTAAACAAAAGGAGGCCTTTAGAGGACGTAGTGTATGTCGTTAAACGATATTACTATGTATACATTGCCAGAAGATATGTGCGTGCTATGCAGGCACTTAATTGTGTGAGTACATATATATGCAATGCATGGCTGGGTCCGGTGGGTATGATTTTTATGGGTAATCACTAATGTAAATATGGAAGCGGTGTGGGCAATATATTTACAGAGGTATCTTTAGATTGTCTTTGAACATGACAAGAAATGTACGCACAGCTGATAACTTTTACTATTTGTACGGAAAAATTTTTACGGGTAGATGTATTGTACTTTAGCTTTTTGGCTTACATATAGATCATATAGGTGAATTCAATACTAATAGTAATAGCATATCTGAACTTAAATAATTTACACCGGTGATAGGCTGATATGTCTGTGCTAACTACGAGTAACATACATCAGGCAAGCTGCTGTGTGTATAACATTTGGTTGGTATGCTTATATTGTTGCTTTAAATTGTATTGTGCTAAATAAAATGGCTTATTGGCTAATTTACTAACATTAAATGTACTGTTTTTGTACTGCGAGTGCTTACACATAGCCCTACCATACCCCTCTGCTTGACACACTGCCTCGGGCCTTCTCTGTGTCCTCAAGCTCGTAAAATTTGTGTTTAAAGTCCAAGCGAATGATAAAAAAGGGAGAGTCGACGTTGACAGATAAAACACTAATAGAAAGTTGTAATGGGAAGTTGCCTATTCCGTGGTTGACTAGAGAGGAAAGAACAGACGTTCAGAAAGGAATGACATAAACAAACACAATGTAAATTTGAAAGTCTTCATCGAAGATGGCTTTTGACGAAATGCAGTGCATGATCAATGATTTCATTCCTCACTTCAGATCATACAGTACAAGGTGGATAGCAACTTTGCCATGGCCATGAAAAACGTTGTAAAATACAAGCTTGGCATGTAGAAAGTAGATATGAAGGAGGCCAGTTTAAGTTTAGCCGTAACAATCGGTCACATATCATTATGATTTTATCTTTGTATTTAATTTCATATTTCATTCATATTTATATATAGGGAAATATTGTTTACTATTGAGCTCGATAGATGGCGCTCGGCGTCATCAAAATATTGTGCCGTGTGTCAGGGAAATTGTGAAGAGATTTGTAAAGTGCCTGGGGCGCAAACATTGAAACAAGTAATTTTCATAGTTTAAGGGACTCTAACGAAGAAGAAAAAAGAACCTAATCTGTGGCAATGACAGAGTGAATAAATGTCTAGCATTAACATCACAAGAATTTTGCGATGTTATAAGTCCGTCAGTTACACTTGCAAACACTCAGTTGAACTTGTTGTACTGCTTGCAGTCGAACGTAAATTGAGAATATCAACTAGCATTTATAGCCATTTACTAAAACGGGAATTACACAGCAGCTGTACTATGGGCAGTAGTATGGCTGCCACTAGTACTCTAGAGAAACTGAAATTTGATAATAAGGTTCTTCGTTCGCTCCCGATCGATGAAGAAGCAGAAAACTACACCAGGCAGGTCCCAGGTGCCTGTTTCTCTCGCGTTACTCCAACGCCTGTAGAAAACCCCAAGGTAATCTCGTAGTCATGCAAAACATTGTTAATGTGTACGGTACCTAACCGTGTTTATCTTTTGAATTAAAGTGACGTGATATGGCGATTAGGTGCTCTGAGGCGCTGATTCTCTAGAATTTACAAATCCTGCAAGTACGTGTTTGTCCAGTGCACCATATGTACTGTTTCAATATTTAGATAGCCGAGGAGTGTAACCATGCAGATAGAATAGCAGATAATATTGAGATTCAAACTAAACCACATTTATTACGCATCAGGAGACATGTTGGCTATGTGTCGGATCCTCTAAACTTAGCCAAAGTCAACACTGTGCATGAGCGCTATATATAGGTTCCCTGAATCACGAGGGAATATTGCTACACGTACGTGCAAAAACCTATCGACCTGCATGTGTTGCTGGCAAAGCATTGCCAAATAGTGACATACATACCCTGAACTGCTCAATCCTAGTTTGGGACCACTGTATATATAGTTCGCATATATTCTAAACTGATCCGGGGTGTTAAACTAGGATTGAACTGGTTGTTACACACGAGGTGTGAATGCAAGCAACCCCAATAAGTGACCGTGGGCAGGGGTTTTGGGCCAAACTGTCAGAGCGAGCCTTTGAGCACATAAATGCCAGATTATATTCCATTGGAAAGTTAAATCACTTTTAAAAGTCGTGTTTTTAAAAGATGATTATGGCCAGAGGTTACAGGGAACGTTGACTTGTGCTACTGCTAGCCATGCATACAGGTACACTGACTGTTCCAGTGAGTTATTTCGTATGTAATCGAATTAGCAATTTTGTTTTTTAATATCGGGACCATGCAGCAACGCTGAGAGGGTCTATGTCTCCCGGGGGTACTGCCGGAACGTACCCTGGTACTATCTAATATGCCGGACCGTACCTCGCCTACTCTACTAACGAGTCTAGGGAGTCGCCTACGCCTACTCCCGAACCCTAACCCAAACCCTAACCTTATAGCCCTAACCCTAACCTTAATCCTAACCCTAACCATATCAAATAGTGACCAGGGTACGTTCCGGTATACCGGACCGTACCTAGGGTACGTTCCGGCAGTACCCTGGGGGACATAGACCCTATGAGCTGCAGCAACGGTATTTGATAGTCGTGCTTTTCACAGTGGCTTGTACTCGAGCATCTAGTCTTCCCTTTGTAGCTGGTCGTCTTTTCTAAAAGTGCGCTCGAACTTCTAAACGTCGCGGAGGAGGAGGCGAACACCGACAAAGCTGCTGAATATCTCTCGGGCAACAAGCTCCTGCCAGGATCCGAGACGGCTGCACACTGCTACTGTGGTCACCAGTTTGGAGCGTTTTCTGGCCAGCTAGGCGATGGCTGTGCACTGTGAGTTGCTAGCAATAAAAGTATGAACATACCTTCACAATTGTACATACTATCGTACGATTTTGCATAGATGTGTTCATAATAAAAGCCAAATGCAGCACTTCCCTTGCTCTAAACAATCTATATTCAATCCCCTGACACTAGTGGGGGTTGAATAATGACGGACTGTATTAGGTGTTGGTTACTCTGCACTTCACAGATACCTAGGAGAGGTGCTGAATGCAGCCGGAGAGCGATGGGAGGTGCAGCTGAAGGGAGCGGGAATGACTCCCTACTCCCGGCAAGCGGACGGGAGAAAGGTGCTGCGCTCCTCCGTACGGGAATTTCTCTGTAGTGAGGTACGCATGTCCATAGCGGTGTTACGTCGCTTTGGAAAGATGTGAGCAATACGTTCAAGTACACAGCGCGCATCCCCGTGTCAAAAATCCCCACCAGAGGTCAGGCGAGTAGCTATCTCATTTTGCCTTTGGTGGGTGTGGTAATGTCATGCGCAGATTACATTCTGGGTAGTTGATCGCAGGCAGTTTGTCATTGACTACTGGCCCTGTAATAGTATCTACCTTGGTCTAGGTGGGTGGGGGGGGATCCCCCGAGCTTTGTTTCCCCTCGGTAGCTACTGCCCTCGAGGTTTGCTTGAATCATTGCTGTGCAGTTTGTGTGTGTAACTGAACAATAAAGGAGCCAATCTAAATCGAATCTTAGCTGAAACATGTGAAACAAACCAAAACAACAAGGCATGAATTGTCTTCAGTACATGTATTTGTATTTGAATTATGTGCAATAAAGATTTAACAATAATAGTAATAATAATAAAACGTGTTTCATGGCGTTGCGTTGTCCGCAGGCCATGTATCATCTTGGCATACCGACGACGCGGGCCGGCACCTGCATCACGTCAGACACCGCAGTCATGCGTGACATCTTCTACAACGGAAACACGATATGGGAGAAGGCGACCGTTATACTACGAATTGCTCCTACATTTCTCAGGTAACGCAGTAAAGTGTTGTTAGGGATGTAGCCTCTGGTGGGAAAAAGGGGAGCTGTCTTTCCTGTAGATTATGGAGAAATATAATGTAAAAAAATAATAAATGAAAGCCCCATGAATTGAATTAGCCATGAAGTATGGGTGAATCGCCGTGAAACCCTCATCTCAAACCCACATGGATTTCTATTCTAAAGCTATGTAAGATTGTTAAATATAAGTAACATTTGTGCTGTTATTCTTCAGACAAGCAAATTTATAGCCAGTGTGAAATTTATTTTTTCGTAGGTTTGGTTCCTTTGAGATCTTTAAGCCGACTGATGAGTTCACCGGGCGTAAGGGTCCGAGTGTTGGCCGCAATGACATCCTGGTGAAAATGCTTGATTATGTCATAGAGACATTTTTTCCTGAGGTCAGTACTATTCCAGTTTCACCTCTTCTATTTAATTAATATATATATATAACATAGATTAACAAGCAGAGTGCAATAATTTAATTATTACCAAGTCGTATAATAGGATGCACTTCATATAGGATCACTGGATAGCGTGAAGATTTATTAACCTTTTTGTAATCGTATATATCAATATTGGTCATTTGTTAATTCATTATGATCCATCATCAATCCACGAATCTATCATGAGTTTAGGCGATCTTGTCATTCTAAGGCCCTGTTCACGGTTAAAACCATGATGTGGTCTGTGGAGAGAATATGTTAAGGAGTTAATATGATGCCGTTGAGTTACGAAAATGTTTTTTCAGATTCATAAAAAGCAAAAAGGCAGCCAAGAGGATAAATATTTTCAGTTCTTTCGTGACGTGGTGTTGCTAACAGCCAGGCTGGTGGCTCAGTGGCAATGCGTAGGATTTTGCCACGGGTACGTATTAGCATAAGAAACACCTCAGATATACACAATCGAAGCTTTTAGAAGAATTACGTATTGAAGAAATAACAGCGGTGACAATATTATGGCAGTGTTGGTGGCAGTTGGAACGTGCATTGTGTTGTGAGAGTGGCAGTTGCAGTTGGTAAAATTTTCAACGAAATTTGCTGGCTGTTGTGAGTGTGTAATTATAAGGTGTGAAACGTGAAAGATGGCAGGTAGAATATATGGGACATTACTGCCTAGAAACCAAGTGACACAATGTCGACAATGTGACGTGCTCACGTGAAACGCACATAAACTGCTCCAGCTTAACTGACCTATGCTATTTCAAGAGGGTGGGCGTGGTTATCTCCTGTAGGTCAGGCTAGGTCAGTTGGCAAAATAATGTGCAGGATACCTTGTGAAATGCTGTATTAAACATTACTGGGTTCATGGACTGGTAAAAAAGCTACAGTAGTAGTATTTAATGCAGCAGCGTGTTGCAATTTCTATGCTTACTTTAGTGATGCAGTTTTGCTATTTAAACAAACGTTACTAGTCTATCAGTAAGCTGTAGCTAGACACCCTATTTCCTAGCTCTAGAACTATAGCCCTTCGCTCTGCCACAAGCAGCCTATAGTTCTAGAGCTACCAATTTCCTAGCTCTAGAACTATAGCCCTTCGCTCTGCCACAGGCAGCCTATAGTTCTAGAGCTACCAATTTTCTAGCTCTAGAACTATAGCCCTTCACTCTGCCACAGGCAGCCTGCTGCAGAGCGAAGGGCTGTAGTTCTAGAGCTATCAATTTCCTAGCTTTCTCAAACGCGCCGCTGTAGCAAACATATCGTTCTCACGCGATAACTAAAAATATGGGATTCTTTTCGTGCAGAGTTTTAAACACGGATAACATGAGCATCGTTGGACTGACTATCGATTACGGCCCGTTCGGATTCATGGACAGCTACAATCCTGCTCACATCTGTAACTCCTCAGGTAAAGGCCCCTGCACACGGTGAGATTCGTGCTGAGCATGGAGCGTGAGTTTTGTGCTCAGCCGGAATCTCACACCCCCGCACACGGTGAGATTCGTGCTGAGCACGGAGCGTGAGTTTTGTGCTCAGCAGGAATCTCACACCCCCGCACACGGTGAGCTTTGTGCTGAGTACGGAGTGTGAGTTTCGTGCTCAGCGGGGGCACACGGTAAGATTGATGCTGAGCACGGATCTCACGACTGGGTGCCACTGTAGGTCATGTGACTGATCAAAATTGCGGAACCAATGAAAATGCGCCGCCACTGAGTTTTTCGTGCCTAGCAGGAGTCTCACACCCCCGCACATGCTGAGTTTTCAGCCTCGCGAGACCAAAATGATCAAACACGACAGTTATTTTCCTCGCCACATCGCGAGACCGAAAACTCACATAAGTCGACCTCGGACACGGTGAGATTCGTCCCAACACATGGTGAGATTCTGTCCGTGTGTGGGGGCCTTAATGTTTGCGCGTGCAGAACATGTCCGCGTATACCTAGTACAAAATGTGCCATCGATAATATATGCTCATCTAAGATAAAATGCATTGAGAAGAGGAGGGGGGTGACTGGGTATAAAAAATGCACGGTCAAAAATATATGCTCAGCAAAGTTCTAATACATTGAGAAGAAGAGAAGGGTGAGTGGGTAGAAAATGTATGGCATACAAACGAGAAAATGGGGCATGTATGGGTGGCAATATCAATTTGTGTCTTAATGTAAAATTGGGTGCTATAGGGTGTTTTAGTAGGCACATTTCATTACTCTAAATAAAATTCATATTATTTCTCACACGTTGTTTTAAACTTTCACTCTCTTTCATTTCTAATGTTGCACGACTATTTTTCTTTACTTCCATTCTTTTCCTTTTCCTATCTACTTTCCCTTTCTCATCACCCCATTTTCTTGTCTCTCTTCCTTACATTCCCCATCCTGTTATCTTCCCTTTCCTTTTATTCCTTAGACAAATAAAGTAGTAGTTAGATTTTAATAAACTTGCAGATGAAGGAGGCAGGTATGCCTTTGATAAGCAACCGGAAATATGCAAGTGGAATTTGGAGAAATTGGCCGAGGCCATCCAAGCTGCTCTACCTCTATCGAAGTCCAACAGATTACTACCGCTGTTCGACTTCGAATTCCAACAATGTTACCACGCGCAGATGAAAAAGAAATTTGGACTTTGCAAGGAGTTACCGGAGGATAAGTGAGTTGTGTGTTGATCTTAGTCCTTTCAGTAGATCTTAGTCCTTTCAGTAGATCTTAGTCCTTTCAGTGGATCTTAGTCCTTTCAGTAGATCTTAGTCCTTTCAGTGGATCTTAGTCCTTTCACTCTTGATTATAATATCAGTATGATGATGGCAAGCCAACGGCGAGAACCTAATTCTCAGGTTGCACCGAGAATTGGCTTCCATTTCCGAGTGTGCTGTGAAGATTTTATATTAGGCATCGTCTCAAAAAGAAGGGATACACGCACGCATGGCAAGCACTCACACGTTCAAGCGCATGTTCGGAGGTACCTCTAGAGTCTAGAATGAGCAACACCTGTCTATAAAGCACATTTTTTGTACATCCCTTGAGTAAGACTTTTCTTTATATGCAGGTGAGGCTGGTAATAGTTTATTTGAGCATTTTGGCTTGGGAGTCGACATCAGAATCGTACGTTGAATAACATACATATTTTAAAATACTGTACACTGAGTAATGCACTGGCACACGTGCATCTTCCCACATCAGTTTCGTGATCGTAAAACGTACATTTATCATATTATTATTTTTAGCTCATCTGACGAAGTCAGATGCAGCTTGTAGAATCACATCAGCGTGCGTGTGTGCGTGCGTCCGTGCGTCAACAGTTGGGCACAAATCTTAACCGCTCGACGTACAGTCACGATATTAGGGACGTCGGGGGGGGGATCGTGAAAAAGACTCGGGATAACCAATTTTGGGGGTCAAGGGTCGAAGGTCAAGATGTGTCAACGGAGGGGGAATATTCCCCCTTAACTTAAGTTATAGGAGGAAATATGGAATTGCGGCACAAATCTGAACGGCTCGACCTATGCTCTTAATATTCGGTGTATAGTGTGATGGGCAGGAAACCCATCACCAGTGCGAAATTGGGGGTCAATGGTCAAAGGTCAAGATGTGTCAACGGAGGGGTAATATTTCCCCCTTAACTTAAGGTATAGGAGGAAATACGGAATTGCGGCACAAATCTGAACGGCTTGACCTATGCTCTTAATATTTGGTGTATAGTGTGATGGGCAGGAAACCCATCACCAGTGCGAAATTGGAGGTCACAGGTCAAAGGGCAATGGGGGAAAGGTCAGATATCAGAAGTTTTCTGAGAACATGGTCTAATGTACAGAGTGAAAAACTTTTTTGTTTCAACGCTGACCTACCATTTTTATCACTTTATTGAAAGGACCATGAAATGTGCTTTCCACTGACGTGCGAAGAGTAAGTGTCTGATAACATTTTGACCCTCAAGAGGAGGGTTAAACATAGTTTTGTTGACGTTACAGTGTTGTCATATTCATGGCACATCCATAATCTATAAACCCAATAAGCCTGAATAGCCGAACGCGTAGAGCACTGGCGTCACGGCTGAAAGGTCGTCGGATCGAATCCCATCTGTTTTTTAATTATTTTCCTGTTTTCTTTATTTTTCTATCTTTATCCATTTAACTATTTTTTTCCAATTAAAGCAAATATTTACATGATTTATTTACAACAATCTTGATTTTTTTTAAATAGGGTTAGAGTTAGGGTCACAATGCACCATATTAAAAACAGGAGTTTCAGGCACGTGATTTGTATCAACCAATGGGATTTGGGAGGTATGCAGGCCCTATCTGCGTGTCAGGTGGGTGGCTGATAGTATCACAGCATGGGCTAAACGAAGGTAGCAACTAGTTCAGATTATCTATTCCCTGCACATAGTCAGTATGCACGCCATCTATTGGAACAGAGTGAGAAGAATGTCCCGGCAGGATAGGTCAAATGTATATTGCGCTCAAAAGTGCAGAAAGAATTACTTTCTTAACTTCAGTTTAATCACTCATGAGATAAGTGATTGCAGAAATGAATCGTCAAACCTACCAATGAAAATTTGCCAGTTTTGTACTGTCCTTGGCATGGCTTTCTCCGTCGACGTTACAGTAGTGTGCAATGTCGGGATATGGTGGAGCATGCTGGCTTGTGGACGCTGCAGAGCCCGATGGTTGACTGTCAGTCGAAATGTGTTGATCCTCCCCGACATTGAAGAAATCTGTACGTTATACGTGCGTCTGCCTTACCTCTGCTCGCCATCTTCGTTGAAAGTTTGGATGCCGCGCGGCGAAATCGGAATGTACATTTCAATCGATGACATAACTGATACAGTAGCGCGCCGCGTGGGTGTTATTTGTTTATAAACAATTTAGTCTGACTAACTCTCTCTCTCTCTCTCTCTCTCGCCCCCTCTCGCTCTTCCTCTCTCTCTCTCTCTCTGCAATAAAAAAAATGTTTGCTGAAATGATGTGTACGCAACTGCGTATCTGCATATCTGCGCCTAACAAAGGTGTCACTACGCACGACTGAAATGTTACGTTTATAACCGTAGCAACAGACCTCAGATGAGCCCAGTCGCTCTGCGGCTTTTGTTATTTACTATAGTGATTGTATGCATGTATCGTGATCGTAATTTTGTTTTGCGTTGCTGGCAAAATGAGATGAAGAAAATCGCATATGTGTTTTCAGAGCGCTTTTCCAGGCCTTCCTGGACAACATGGAAGCCACTGGAGCAGATTTTACCAACAGCTTTCGCGCCCTGAGCCTACTTCGGCTCCCCGGTTGTGCGGGTTATGACCAAAGTAAGAGAGACCTCATGACTCAGCTGCTCAGTCAGTGTCTGACGCTCGAGGAACTGAAGAAGCAGTACGCACCACAGATGGATCCGAGGTAAGACATCAGACTCGCCGTGTTGTTTTTTGTTGCGATCAAAGTCTCTTCTTTACGTGTTATCTTCCGCATATCTGACCAAGTTCAACTTCTGTGGTCTGTGCCCTGTTATTATCTCAATCGTGAATAGTAGAAAATTAAACTATCTACATATAGTTGTCGCCAGCGAGTGTTGTGGCCGCTGGCTCAAGTTGAACTTTCTGCATCAGAGGTTGTGTAAGTCAATCTTAGGGTATCACCGATGCGTCGGTTATCCTAACTCTAATAACCATTATCGTTGCAGTGATATCAGCTTACTACAGGCCGTTCCCTCGTTTTTCTTATATTCACTGAATAGAAATTCGGTCAAACAATTTTCTGTAAAAAATTGCTCTAAAAACGAGAATTTTGTCAGAAGCACAGCTAACAGGTTCAGGATTTGTTTAATTCCAGAGTGGAAATAAACACAAACGACCTCTATGTGCCATCACTAATTCATATAAAATGTAAAGAAACTAATCGTGCAGAATCCAGACGACTTTCTCACTGAAAATGGATGGCAGTTCACCACATTTAAGACATAGCAGAACCAGAAAGTCTCATCAAATGTCACTGATATATACTGAAACTATTACACTTACAATTACATATAGGTAGACTCGCTTCTATCTGCACAACTGTGTCTACTAACCGAACTAAAATAAATGTTACGTGTATATCGTCTGCATGTCGATTTGTTTGCAACCGTGTGTATCTGTGTTCCCAGGCAATTTGCAATATTTCAAAGTCTGCTGCAGTCTAATCCAGCAATGGTGGAGATGCTGGGAGTGCGCAGAGGCTTGGGAACTATCGAACGTGAAATGGAGCGCATGCTAAAGAGGAGGGAGCTCGAGGTAGTTTCTGTGCAAATAGATGAAATCTTTGTTGTCAAAAAAAAAGTTGTCAATGAAATCTTGTAAAACGAACCAGACGAGTGTCACACCACAGACTGTTTGTTATCTGCGTTATATGCTATATAATTGCCAAACCCTACCTAATTTGCATATTTTTTTTTTACATATCAAAAATATGACCGAGTGCAGGGCCGTAGCTGCGGGGGGGGGGGGAGGCAGCTGCGCCCCTAGATTTTGGAGCAAAATTAAAAAAATAAATTGTTCTACTAAAAGAGAATTGTCGTAGTCAGAATGAAGGCTGTACATGTACTCAAAAGTGCCTCAAATACCATCTCCTGCAATTTACATTTTCACAATTTTCTTCGCGATTTCAATTTTCAATCACTGATCTTTTGTCAGCCTATGAAACGATTTTCTTCGAATTGCCTTTTCTGTATTTTCCGTAACCTCAAGTACATGCCACCAGTCTACACGTATTCATGTGGCACAGTTCGTATGTGCACATCCGGATAGAATTTTCATAGAGGATGATGATTCCTATCGGGGCGACAAAAGACAGTGTGTAGAGGGCTGCTGCTCGCCCCGTAATCCCACAGTCTGCAATACATATAAATAAATAAATGAACAAATAAATAAATAAATCATTTTACAAATAAACAAATAAATAAATAAATCATTTTACAAATAAACAAATAAATAAATAAATACACACGCCACCATTTTCCTTTCGCAGAAGATGTCCAACGCAGAAAAGAGTGCCAGCGATCGAGAGGTGTGGTTCGGCTGGGTGCTTAAATACGCGGCGAGGTTAGAGAAAGAGGTGGCGGACACGGCACAGGTCGAAGCACTGAATGACCAGCGTGTGGCCCTGATGAACGGCGCCAATCCGAGGTAAGGTAATAAATGAGGTAAATAACGAGGTAATAATTATAGTGAGGTCATTAATCAAGATCTACTACTCACTCTTAAATTCGTGCTGTCATTAAATTGACTACGTCACGAATTTTCTATGGTAAAATTTGTAAAATTTTTGTTGCTATTTTTGTACATTAAAAGTAAGAACTAACGGGACTAAACGTATCGTCAAATTCTTACCTGATAAGATTGTTTCTCAACTAGTTAAAAATCCAAAAAACCAGGACGATTTGATATTAGTGTTCCTGACGTTAATTGCTTGCTATGGGCTATGTATGCGTCACGAGTGTATGTTCACATCGAACAATATAGTAAAATAAGAAGTATAATGCAGCAATTTAACCATAAAAAGTGAACAGAATTACTTTTATTTTGTGGGAAAGTGGATTTTTTTTTACTATTTACGGTGACGTAATCACTTTAAGGTAGCCGAATAGAATTCTCTTACCTCTGTTGACGTAGGTTTTGGGTTAGAAGATGTACATGAGTTTACTAGGTAGTTAGAAGATGTATGTGAGTGTACTAGGTAGTTACAACATGTAGGTAAAGAAAAAACTAGGTAGTTTTTCTGCAACGGACTTCCATCTCGGCAAGGGCTTTGAAAATCGGCTTCCCTACCCCGAGCGACAAATATAAATAAGGTTGAGGCGACGACACGAGCCGTCATCCTCACTCGACGACGACGCCTCATAAACACTCATAAATGCATGCTGAATGAATGAATGAACGCTCGCATTCAGGTTTTTTTTTATAATTCCTTTATTTCCAAATATGTTACAAACATGTTATAGCCAATACAATACATATACTTGTACATAATATATAGACAATTTGAAATGTAGGTATACATTTATACGCAATAACTTTATACTTAACTTGCATTGTATATGTTAGCAATACTATTACATATAAATGCATAATCAAGACTTGGTGTATATTGAAATACAGTGCTTATATGTGGTTCCTATCGTCCTATCGACTGTGAAGTAAAGAAGCCCATTTGCCATAAAATTTGTTCACGTTCTTATTTGTTTGTGCTATATACTTTTCTATGCTCATATCATGTTTAACATTGGAAGCAAATGTTGCTCGCGCGCAGGTTTGTCCTGCGAAACTACATGGCTCAGAACGCGATCGACGCGGCGGAGGACGGAGACTTCTCGGAGGTGCAGCGGGTCCTGCGGTTGCTGGAGAAGCCGTTCTCCTCCTCCTCCTCCTCCTCCGGCGACGACGACGTGGAGGAAGCCTGCGTCCTTGCGAGACCGAATTCTGCAAGCCCTGCACGGGTGAAAGATGGCGACGACGACTCACGTTAGTGTGTTCGGCGCTACAGCTTGTAGTGCCGCTTGTTCGTAAATGTAAAAAAAAAAATTTTTTTGATCTGTTTGCGATCGAATTCGCGCGGCAGACGTGATCGTGCGTTTTTTTTGCGATCTACGAAATGTTAAAAAAAATTTAATGTTCAAGACTGAAAAATGTACAGTAGGTTTTTTATGCGTGCCCTTATCCATTGTACTGAGGGTATTCGTTTAAAAGAACGTTTTCGACTTCTCGCTAGCAAATTTTAGATCGTTTTTTTTAATACCTCACTGCTTTCGTAAGTGAGCGTAGCCACGCAATGAGAAAAAAACACGTTTAAGCACTAATTATCTTGTTACTCGTCTCTTCTAGACGTGTCGCCGGAAGCTGAAGCCGCTGCCAGCGATAAGAAGAGTTCGTCTACGCACGGCGACCGCGTTCGCTACGACGGCAAGCCACCTAGCGGGATGAAAGGCCTGCGAGTCACTTGATCCTCGTAAATAGCGGCACCAGCGCATGCGCGGATGTGTGCGTGCGCGTGCGCCGCTAGTCTCCGCCACGTGCGAGAGGTAGAATGCAAGCGATTGAATGTCAAACGAAGGTCGCCAGGGCCGTAGCCTGCGGGGTGGGGGGGGGGCAGGTGACCCCTAGATTTTGGAGCAAAAAAAAAAGTTTTATTGAAAGAGAATTGTCGTAGTCAGAATGAAGGCTGTACATGTACTCAAAAGTGCCTCAAATACCATCTCCTGCGATCTGCATTTTCAAAATTTTCTGTGGGAGGCCCCCAGACCCCACCACCTGTTTCTAACCCTTCATTGAAATCCTGGATCCGCCACTCCTCCCCCCCCCTATGAATTGGCTCAGCCTACGGCCCTGTTCGCTATTGGTCTCAGCAGTAACTGACCTATCACCAGGCTTGCGCGGAAGGAGACGTGGCTCCACCAATCCGTATGTTGGCGCAATCGAACGTAAAAGACGATGCTTAGGCACGGAGTGCCGCGAAAGCGACGTTTTTTAATTGCGACGACGTGGTGAAGAAACGCGTGGAGCCATTTCGCTTGACTTGATCGGCACAATAGCCAATGGTAGAGGGGATGCTTGCGTGGCCGTAGCGTGGCATAGGTCAGTTGTATAATTTTCCTGCACATTCCGGTTTGCCGACGTTTTAGCCCAAATAGTTGCTGAGAACAAGCGATTGCCATAAGGAATGCGTGAAACGTATTACGTGTACAAACATTGGTCGATATGCATCGCACAAATAGCCGTATCACGTTAACTTCATACGATGTAAATATGCTGCTTAGTAAATGTCAATATGAATGTATTTATACAAAGTGGATTGGTATAGATATATTCATGCGCATATCACGACCGCTAAAAAAAACAACAGGATTATTGTTGAGAGTTGGTTAGTTTAGGGAAGTGTCCTAGACATTCAACTCGTGTTTGATGTAAAAGTCATAACGTGCCTTAGCAGGGAAGACTTTCTCTGATGGTTGCATCCTACATGATCGCGGTGCTCCCCAATATTTCCATCATTCAATCTATAGAGAGATGCTTAACATTCTTAAGACGCTGTCATTAGATAATTGTACATCATAGGCTACCTAAACTATTACCAATGTATTTATATATCTGTGAATTTTTAAAGTTTAGATGAATTTATAGGTAACTAGATATAGTTACACTGCTCCCTTTGGGGTCACTGGCGGCGTCGAGAAGCAAATTTGGGTAGACGATTATAATTATATTAATTAATATTAGTGGTTATAAGACATGTGATTATTAGTTGAGCCTACCTCAAACTTGTTGCGATGTTGCTGAAAACGCGGTATGGTCTGTAACAATGGTCAGCAATACGTCTCATGTCGACTATCGCTGAGAGCAGTGAGTGACACTAATAATACGTGCTGGTAAGATGTACTAATGCCAATTGTATTGAAAATGTGGAACGATAATGTGAGTATGGTGCCATGTTAAAATGCGGGGATAAAAATGTATTGATTCATTGGCAAATGGAGTTGGAATGTTTTTGTTTTCTTTTTTCTCGTATTTCTAAAGATGTTCCGTACGCCCTTTCTATAATGCGTTTCCCTTTATATTACATGTTGGAAGTTGTCGTAGCGTGCTATGCGACGTTAAGCACCTCATTGTAGGCATTGCCAAGCAACAGAAACGCTGATTTGAAAGATACAGGAGCACAAGCAGAACAACAACAGTAAAAACAACAGTTACGAGTAGGCAACAACAACAGCTAACAAAACAACGCAGCAAACAAAGCAACAGCAAGTAACAGTCAACAAGCAGCTAACAGTACTAACATCAGCAGCAACAGCAGATAACCAGCACAGCAGTAACAACAAAAAACAGTAGTAACAGCAACAGCATAAAACAGACAACCGTAGCTTAACAACGCAGCACAGCAAACAAAAACACCTATAACCTGAAATGTGTTCAACAGGAAGGCCAAAATAAATCTCACATTACCCTGAAGTTATCTCGAGCAAAAACGGCGAGTATACTCATTCACTGAGCAAAAAACGCGACGCGCGCCGCCGCTAAAGCCCCGCAAAACTTACTTGTATATTCATAATTTTATATATATTATTAATTCATATGATAAATCATCTAAAAACAGACTTTGGCCATTCCATAATTGTTGTATTGTTCCACGATCAGCGTTGCCACCGTCGGGAATAGATTATTGAACTCGATGAATCTATCATGCGTAGCATCCTGATGATGACGGCAACCATCCTGTGGTCCCTAGGCAGCAGGAAATTACCTGTTAAGTTTTCGAACGGTGTATTGGTCCGTCGTTCGGGAGTGTGGGAGCTCGAGCCAGTAAATGTGCAGATATATATATATATATATAGTATAGTAATCAGCGAGTAGATAATAGGGAGCGCCCCTAGATATCAGGAGTAGATAATAGACTTCCATTATACTATCCTGATTATATATAGTAGTAAGTATATATATATATATACATATATATTATATATATATAGACTGTGTGTATGTACGGCGTGTTTGTGTGTTAGTTAGAGAGAGAGAAACGACGATCGAGAGAGAGAGCAGAGAGAGAGTGCCCTTTGCTGTAGTCGTCCGTCGTGTGAGCGCGCGTTGTGACGCGCGTGTGAGCGCGCGCGTGGTGTGCTGTTGTGGCGGGGTGGTGGTGTGTGTGTGGAGCGTGTGTGTGCGTCGTGTGGTGTGTGGCGTGTTCGTGTGTGTGTGTGTGGATACTGTATTTTGGTGTTAATATAGATCCTGAACGGCTGCGCCTATTAGGCCTATATGCAAACAGCTCTGATAGCGCAATCACACAAATCTTTGCTTAGCTATTTATCGCTACAAATAACTTTTTATTCGTCTACACGAGGCGAAAATAACCCGCGGCACTTAAATATACCTAGCACAATTACTGAAATATAGCACAATCCCTCAAACTGTGGCAAATCAGTTTATCTTTTGTTAAATAATGGTGGGACATTACCTGTCACCATCGTTCAGTCGGTGTGTGTGTGGGGGCGGATGCATATGCGCAGTTGAAGCGCTAATATGATGAACGGATC